ACAGAGAAATACTCATTTGAGAGATAAACTAGAGAGCAGATGACCTTTCAAGGGAGGGGAGAGTTTAAGGAGGAAATGTTTATAGTGCCAAATGCTGAAAAAGAATGAAAATCGTGGTGGGGGCAATCTGTGGATTGGCAATAAGGAAGTCACTGGAGACCTTTAAGATAGCAATTGGAAGGAGCGTGGTAGGGATGGAAACCAGGTGAAGCATTAAATTAGGAAGGCAGTAGGTAGAGAGCAGATTATTGAGACCTCGGACAAGGAAAGGAAAGAAAGAAGGTCATAGAGAAAACTGCAGAGTCACATGGGTTTGTTTTGTTTTGTTTGTTTTTTAAGATGGGAGACTTGTTTGTGTTTGAAGAATGGACAGAGGCCTGTGAAGATGGTAAGGGCTTTGTCTGGGAAAAACTTCCTGTTTCTCCCTTTACTCTCACACTCACAATCCTCAAAACACTTCAGTTCTACTCACCAATTGTGTGCATTTATTCCCCACACCAACTGATTCTCCAGCATCAGCTGGGTGTCCTACAATTCAGTTCTGACACTATACACCTATTATCTCACAGGTTAAAGGCTCAGCCTCACGAGCCCGTCCCCATTTCAGACACCAGTCCCAAGTCCTAGGTTGTTCCCAGGTTCCCAGTACTTCTGACTGACTGGCTATAATTCGGAGTTCCCGCAACATCCTTCTTGGGTTTGATAGTTTGCTTGAATGTCTCACCGAACTCAAGGGAACACATTTACCAGTTCACCATAACAGATGCAGATGAACATACAGATGAAGAGATACATAGGGCAAGGTCTGGGGGAGGGGCAAGGAGCTTCCATGCCACCTCCTGGCATGCCACCTTCCTAGCAGCTGGCAGCCTGGAAACTATCTGAACTCTGTATGTTAGGGATTTTAATGGAGACTTCATCATGTAGACAGGACTGTTTACTGACTCATTTTGCAGCCCCACTCTGGAGGATAGGGACTGGGGCTGAAAGTTATAAGCTGCTTTCAAAAAAATTTTTTTTTACATTGATGTATAGTTGATTTACAATGTTGTAGTTTTCCGGCATACAGCAGAGTGATTCAGTTTATATTTGTGTGTGTGTGTGTGTGTGTGTGTGTGTGTGTGTTTATTCCTTTTTATATTCTTTTTCATTGTAGGTTATTACAAGACACTGAATACAGTTCCCTGTGCTACATGGTAGGACGCTGTTGTTTATTCCAAGCTTCTAATCATGGCTTGGTCTTTCTAATGACCAGCTCCCATCCAGAAGCCCACCCAAAGTCACCTCATTGGAACAGAAGATACTCCTATCATCCAGGAAATTCCAAGGGATTTAGGAGCTCTGTGTCAAGATCCAGGGTCAAAGACCAAATATTTGAACAAAAGATGTACCTAGTGCTCTTGTCACTTAGGAAATCACAAGAGTTTTAGGAGCTCTGTGCCAGGAACAGGGGTGGGGGCTGCTGGAGGGATGGAAGGGGGAGGCAGAGAGCAGGATATATATTTTGTTATTTCACAAGTTCCCAAATCCCTGCCTTGCATTTGCTTCTCTTTTTAGCTATGGGTTCAAGTTTACAATAGTTTGTTGGATATCTCCTGAATATCGTGTTAGCTCCTCCAACTCAACACATCTAAAACCAGACTCAAGATTGTCCATCCCATATCCATTCCCATTTTTTATATTCCTTATTCCAGCTTATCTTTCCAGTTACTAAAGCTGGAAAACTTAGTCATATGTGAATCATTCTCTCTCTCCCCTCCACAGCTCAGTCAGCTGTCTGGGCATGCTTATTTTACTTCCTCTGCCATGGACTCATTTATTAATTTATTCTTTTTTTTTGCTTAAAATAATAATCATGAAATATTTCAGGCAAACAAGGTAGTAATAGAGAACAGTATCATAATGATAATATACTCAGCCTAGTTTAAGTAAACTTGCAAATACAAAGCCCTGAGGAAATCCATTCAGATCCCACCCTACTCTCCATACCAAAGGAAATCACCATGTAAAATTTAGCATTTATCATTCCCATGCAAGATTTGTTGTTTTACTCCACATGTATGTAGCCACATATAGGATATAAGTTGGCATGTTTTTAAACTTTATATAAACTATGGTATAATGTTTATCCTGCTATAACTTTTTTCAATCATTATTTTTGAGATTTATCCATGATGAATCATCTCTTTTATTTTAAATGTTATTTAATGAAAATACCACAATTTATTAGCCATTGTGCATTATACTGTATATAATGTGTGTGCATATATAGACACACATTTGTATATATAATAAATATATGTATATGTGTGCACAGTTGCTTTTATTATTTTACTCCACCTCTTGAGTTGAAATGGAGGTATGACATGGTGCAGCTTATTTACTTATTTTCCAACTGGAGAAGTTCTATTCCTCAAGGCAGGTAAAAACTGTTTTCAATATTTTCTACAGTTCAATCCAACTTTCTCTCTGCCACTTCATTCTTTAGTTTTTCCCATTTTTCTTACCTCCTCTAAGTAGGCTTGCGTATAGTTAGCTCTTTTGAGAATAATTGATAGATGTCTGGTTTATAGGACTAAAGCATAGAAAAAAAAATTCCATTATAAGAAAGAGATTTAATCATGAAATAAAGTATGAATACACTTCAGGCTGAAGGTTATTATTGCTTATCATTTAAGGACACTATACCTTAATGGCATCAAGTTATTTATTTTTAAGAAAAGTATTACTGAAGTATATTTTTAAGTATTATTTATAAGTAAAGCTACTTATAAGTTTGCTAATTTACAGCCAATAAAATTTATGGCATTCTGTATTATTCTAAGAAACATAATTAACAAGATACTTTCTAGCATTCTATATTCTTCTAAGATTATTAACAAGGTAGAAATGCATAATCCATTTTTTCACAGAAAATTGCAACAACTCAGTATGTCAGAGGACTAAGCTTACTGGACTGACATGAAGATGACTTCAGAAGTGTACCGGATACTTTGAAAATTTAGAATAGCCTGGATAAAGAGAATGAGATTCCTTGAATTATAAAAACATCAGTCCTTTTATACCATGGTGATATCACTGGCGTGGAGCTTGAAAGAAAATGAGGTCTAACTCATTTGGGAAAGGTGATCTTGAAAGAGGTGTGAACTAATATAAGGTCAAAGAAATTTTATCATACAACATTTATGGATTACTTCTAATTTTTTAAATTCATCATTCATTTTTCCACAAGATAATTGTCTTGACAATCTTTCTGCTTAATATTAATTAAATATTCACGTGTTCGTTATTGATTAGAACATTCAAAATAAATAACCCCAACACAAGCAGCTCATATTCTAAGAAGACTTGCTTTAAAAATAGTCTTCCTTATAGATACATATTTTATCCATGTTATTGTGTTTTCCTTTCTCTTTATTTTTTACATAATGGTTAGGTGAGTCTTTTAAACTGATCATTTAAGAAGACTTGATATGCTGATTGGTGAGACTGACAGGTGGGTTTGAAGCCTGATTCTGCCATTTATTTGAAAAGGACAGTGTGCAAGTCTCATAACCTTGCTAGCCTCAGTTTCCTCATCCATAAAAGGATGAACCTATGATACCTCCTAGGGCTGTGAGGATTAAAGGTGCAAACAAGTTGGCACATAGCAAAAGCTCAAAGATGTTACTTCTCCCCTTTGATAGATTAAGTAAAAGTAAGACAAGAGACGTGGCTTTTGAGGTATATTTTTGAGAGCAGGGAAGATATGAAACACGAAGGGGGTTAAGTATACCTAGTCAATGTCAACTAAAATGCTTCTGAAATATGACAGTGATTATGTAAGTAGAACAAGCTTGAAGAGACTTGAAATCCAGTGTGCACAGCTTAAAGAGATTCAGAGGTAGGTAAAAAGGAGGGTCACAGTCATAGAAACAAAGGTTATGTTAAATAGACATTGATTTAGGTGGAACTATACAAAATTGCCACCTTTTTAGATATAAAATGGTTGAATATTGGCAATTTTATATTGTTCACTTAACAGATGTTCAGGAGGGAAGAAAGGCAGTGGGGGCTGTGAAAGAAAGAGCAAAGCCCCTCAGGTGGGGTGCAGTTAACCAGGGCTGTCACTGGTTTTAATACAGAATGGTTAGGCTCTTGCAGCTGTGAATCAAACATTATTTAGTGGCCTCTTCTCCATGTAGCAAAAAAGGTGATTGAAGATGGGTGAAAAAGTTCATGCCACTGGGTCTATTGGAATCTTTGAGGCCCTTTGACATTTACCACAGTTTCTAAAGGATTTAAGAGAACTTAGAAAACATACAAAGTAACAAATACAAAAACAAAGGAAATTGAGAAAAAGGGAAAAAAAGGGACATCCAGATCTCCTGCTGTGATGTAAACATTGGTCAGGATAGAGCTTCCTCAAATCATGTTTGGAAAGGAGAAAGTATAAATAATACCCAGCAGAGTGCTTCCCTTCCTGATACACAACTGCAATTTCTGTGTTCCTATGTAATGTAGCAGTAGGCGCCATTGAGAGGCTGTCTTCTACCAAGAAAACAAGTATCTTTTAATTAAGATAAACTATGTCAAGATTTGACTACAGTACTGGAACAGCTAAGAAAAGGTGTTCTTTCCAGAGACTATCTTCAGCTCCAGCCTTAAGACATTCCATGATAATAACTCTTTTCAGTGCTGTCCGAGCAGGTCCTCTGAATCTAATTATGCAGTAGTGATACTTTTGGTATATGCATCTCTTAAAAGCACTGCATTAAAAGCAGAGTAGTTAGGTCTGTTAGGTTACTTTGTCCTTTCAAAAGATTAGATGACTTGTTTTTGCATCTTTTCAGAATGGACTGTGGACCAACAAAGTTTCAATACGATTTTTTCATTCCATTTTTCAGTTGGTATCAATGAGGAATTGAATTCCTGTGGCCAAGAACTTTGCTGTCTCTGGGTTGCTGGACTAAGACTTTGTACAAGGGGCATGGATATAGTATGCTTAGACCCATAAAACACATCCCCACTCCTAGAAAAACACCTAAAAATATCAGAAATATCTCTTCTAGGGAAAGAGCTATCCTCACTCCAATACATCCATGTAAGTAGAGTGACAATACTGTGACTTCCCTTCCTTGCTCCCACTCCACTTGTTTTCACTTGTCCTTCCCTTCAAGTCTCCTATCCCTCTGTTTCTTTTTTTTCCCCCCAAAAATCAGCTTCTTCTATTGACACTTCAGCTTTCCTTTAGAATTTCAGGGTAAAATAGTACAGGCTTTATACTATTTATGTTTTTTTTAATTTTATTTTTTATTGAAGTGCAGTTGATTTACCAGGTATACAGCAAAGTGATTCAGTTATATGTATACATACATATATATTTTCTTTTCAGATTCTTTTCCATTATAGGTTATTAGAAGAAACTGAATATTGTTCCCTGTGCTATATAGTAGGCCGTTGTTGTTTATCTGTTTTATATATAGTAACATATTTGTTAATCTCAAAATCCTAATTTATCCCTCCCCCACCCTTTCCCCTTTGGTGACTATAGTTTGTTTTCTATGTCCATGAGTCTGTTTTTGGTTTGTAAATAGAATTTGTATCATTTTTTTCATTCCACATATAAATGATATATATATTTGTCTTTGTGTGTCTGACTTATTTCACTTAATATAACAATCTCTAGGTTCATCCATGTTGCTGCAGATGGCATGATTTCATTTGTTTTAATGGCTGAGTAATATTCCAGTGTGTGTGTGTGTGTGTGTCTGTGTGTATGTATATCTCACATCTTTATCCAGTCATCCGTCGGTGGACATACACTACTTTTTAAAGTGATTCGTTTACTTATACACGAGACCAAAAGGTCTATTAAAAGAGATCAACTCCATTCTTGGATTCAGAATTACAAGTCCTGTTTTTGCATGTTGGTGGTTTTTAGGTCATTTTTCTAGTTGTATCTTTTGTACAGTTAAGTATCCAGTCACCGTACGTTTCTGATCCTATGAGTACAGGACAAAAATATAAGAACAGAGATGCAAACTCTGTCTCTCCCAAATGGATTAAGAATTCTTTTCAGTTAGCGCACACAAAATCTAACTCAAGCGCTTAGACTTTACAACTCCAGCCCCAGGGCACAACTTTGTCAAACAATCACAATTAATTGGAACACTAATTCTTGTTGGAGTCAGATTTCTAACAAAAAGAATACTAAGGACAGCATTTTCATCTCTTGAACTTAACCTCCTTTTTGGCAATTAGATCTGAAGGTAATAGGCAGAGATGTCTCTTAGTTGGCAACACACGCACACGTACACAAAACTTGAGCATTTTCCCTTCCCAGGATGACAGCAAGGTATTAAGGATGCCAAAGAAGGAGTGTTAACCTAATCTAGTAAGTGATATGAGACTTTAAATTAAAATATAACCAAATGTTCCAAGAAAATAATTCGCTGCAATTCACTGTTTTTAAAAATGTTGGCAACTGCTGTTGATGGGCTTTTTCAGATGTTCCACTTGTTATCAAGACGATTAAAAAGCAGGGAATAATATGTTTGTGCAGCATAACGATTATGTGACTATATTTTTTTAAAAAAAAGATTCTGTCCCTTTGAATATACACATTGCGTATTAGATGAAATATACTTTAAGTGCCTGTTTTGGTGCCAGTGGCCAGAATGAAAGCTCTTCTATCTGTAAGGTGAATTGAGATTTCTTCCCTGTTTTAAACGCCTGCTTCCAGGGTACGTAAAAGTGGGAGACGGTTTGGAAACCAGGGGCTAAGGGGGATGGGAATGAGATGGCTCTGACTGTGAATCTAAGAGCTGAATGTGTATGAGAGAAAATCCTCCTCCAGCCTCGGAGGGGGTGTCTCCCCCCAATACCAGCTCCCTCCCCCCCGGGCTCGCGGGGCGGGCCTGGTTTGCTCAGTAGCAGCAGCGGCCGCAGAAGCAGCCCCAGGGCTGAGCGGCTGCGGCCTTCTGGCAGCGAAGGGAAGCCACGGCTCCGAGAGCGCGAGGCCCTGGGGAGATCCGGCTCCCGCCGGGATGGAGGAAGCGTCGAGTGGAGCCCGAGCCTCCGGGGACGGATTTCCTCCCCAGCTCAGCTCTCCTACGGCTGGCCGGGGCCTGCTCCGACCACCTGCGAGGTGGAAGAGGCCGGCGCCTCGGCCTGGCAGCGGCAGCCGGCGATCGAGGCGGGCACAGCGGGGTAACAAGCGAGCCATAGCCGCTCTCGGGAACCTACGCCGCCACAGCCGCTCATTGTCTCTCCCCTTCCACCCGGGGGGGCAAACAGGAAGCGCGCCGCCTGGTCGAGTGACGGACCGGCGTACGGGCCAATGAGCACTGCCTATGGAGAGCGTGGTGGCGAATTAGCACGGAGAAGAGGGGCGGAACTTCCGGCCGGGCTGTCACCCTCTTCCCCCCTTTTGGGCTGGAGGCTCCACCTTTTGTGTTTCCCGCACAGTCAATCAAAATAGGAAAAAAAAAATACCCCGGACCGCTCCGGCCGTGTCCGCCGCCG